GGAAGCTGGAAACGATTTACTCAATAAAGCACGGATTCTGTACACAGTCGCATAATCCAATTTGACGTAAGTTCGTATTTTAGGCTGGGCAGTATTAAACAGCATGAATGTGTTTCGCAAGTAGCATAGTGGAATCCCATAAAAAGCTATTTTTAGCGCCAACCTCTGAGTCTACTGACAACACTACGAACAGTAACGCTTGTGGCGCGGATAAAAAGTCTGCTACAAGGCACAACAAAATGTTGCGAAGCAAATCTCGGTTGCAGGCGGACGTTTGTGGCGATTGCGGTGCTTCTGGTATTTATTTCGGTTACTTTGATTTAATGAAAGTGCTGTGCTAACATTTATGATTTTAGATCCATCATGGGCATCGATAAATCGTGGCATACTACTGTGCTCCGATTGCTGTTCTGTACATCGTAGCCTGGGACGTCATATATCTATTGTGAAGTCCTTGCGGCAAGGCATTTGGGAACCATCAGTTTTAAATTTTGTCAATTCACTGAACACTCGTGCCAATAGCGTTTGGGAACATCATTTGCTTGATGGACAAACAAATACTAGTACTAAGGGTGCAACACGTTTGCGTAAGCCAAGCCCTAAAGACGCATTAGATCCCACCAAAACGGAATTTATAAAAGCAAAGCATATAAATTTGAGTTTTGTTCTCAAGCCCAATTATCAAGACGAAGACAACGTGTGCAGTAACGGAGTGAATCTTGGTCAAGAGCTAAGTAAACAACTGCATGCCAGTGTACGTACTAGCAATTTGGAAACGTCATTGCGTTTATTAGTGCAGGGTGCGGATCCCAATTTCTATCACGAAGAAAAATGCTCAACACCATTACATGTAGCAGCCAAGTTCGGACAAGCATCACAAATTGAATTACTGCTCGTATACGGCGCAGACATCAATGCAATAGATGGCAATGGCTTAGCGCCGTTAGAGGTCGCAAAAGCTAATAATCATAGTACAATAGCGGAGCGTTTATTGGATGCCATGTACGATGTAACAGATCGTATAATTATGTTTCTGGGAGGGAAAAAACCAGATCATGCGGTATGTATTAATGTTGTTCTACATATGTTATATAAGGAATAATGTCGTTTCGTCTTTAGTCTGGTCGGCATCTCGTTATACCGGAGTTAAGCAATGCAGATATAAGTGAGCAGTTAAAGATCGCCAGGGGAAAATTACAACTAGTGCCAAATAAGATGTTTGAAGAATTAGTAATGGATTTGTACGATGAAGTAGATCGACGTGAGAATGAAGCAAGTACGTGTTTAATTAAGATTTTAAAATACACTTCTCTTCCCTATGTATATGAATAATTTTGTTTTTAAATTTTAATTAGTTTGGGCGACATCAACAATGAATGCAGAAAATGCTGCTGTGCCATTTTTACCAGCCAATCCATTTCTGAGTGCAACGCGCAATCAAGTAAATCATTTAATTATTTTTAAAATTATTTTAACTATGAGTTTGTTGTGTTTATTTTTAGGGCCGTCAGAAATTAGCACGATTTAGTCGTTCTGAATTTGCTGGACTACTAACGGATGTGTTAGTCGATGCGCGTCGGCGTCAAAATATGGCAAATCTTCGACCTTTAGAGGCAAACACAAGTGTATGTTATGCTCCACAAACGACAACAGCATTCAATACCAGTGAACATGATCCTAACTTGTCGGATGATGAGCCAATTTACGACCCAGTTGCAAGTGATGATGATTATGCAGCGGTTCCACCAATCGCGCATCAGGTAAATTATATGCATCAAAAAATATTCAAACTTAATAATAGTTTTGGATAAATGCCAATATAAAATTATAAATATAATTTATAAGTGGATCTAGTTTAGATTAGTCAAGAAATAATATACTAAATGTGTTATTATAAAAAAGCATATGTAAAATTTTTTATTAATATTAATTGCATATACATTAAGCTTTTTAAATTTAAGTTAATGTTGTAAAGATATTGCATTTCTAGAATATAATATTTTTATTTTGAGTGAAAATTTATTATATATAATTTGCTATTTAATCTTCAATGTGGTGGGTCCGTACACCTACACAATTAACCCAACTCGCAAAAATGATATCGATTCTTCATGAAAAAGGACTGAATCTTAAGAACTAGTGAATTTTATCGAATATGTGATAATTTTTTTTCACGAAAATATCGTATATAAGTTTTTTTTCACAAAAACATTACAAAATTTGTGATAATTAATTACGTGTCATAAATAATAAATTTTTGTTTTATTTTGTAAGCAAATATTTTCATGTGCTATTAAAATGCCCTGCGCTATTGCACATACGAAATAGGCTCCTAGGAATGTATATTCTTACGGAAGAGGCAATAAAACTCTGTAAAGTAGGTTCTATACTACTTTTTATTGACGCAACAGGGCTTAAAGACCTATTCTAAGCCCAGAAGGGGGCACAATAGACCTGATAGTCGCAGAGCAACATCCCCTAACAATAATAAAAATAAGCAAATATTTTTAAATATTTAACGATTAAATAAACTTTATTTTGCTTGAAATAGTGAAATTTACAATTAATAACACAATATTAAAAAAGAAAAGAACGACTTTCAATGAATTTTTAAAATTTTTATTAACATTAATCTTAATAAATTAATATTATATCACTACGTAAAAAGCTTGATATATATTTTTTAATTAAAAATTAAAATGAGCTTATTTTAATATCGTACTAGCGATAAATTTTATCTTTATCATTTTGTTTACCTAAAAAGTTATTATAAAATAATATATTGTATCGCAAACTATTATAATAATGATAGTTCCAATTATCAGAACATTGGAAATTCGATGAATATTCTATAGCTAACATTTTTCTATCATTTTTACCATGCAAAAATATTGTAAAAACAATATATTCTATTATTATCGCAAATTCGATAAAGATTCGATAATTGCTATTTTTTTATAGTTTTTGCCATAATTTTCTTATGAAAATAATATCACTTTTGTTTAAAAAAATTATTATAAAAGCGATCTATCACGGTTCTGTTAATTGAGAGAGTAGAGTTATAGTCTTAATACTGATATGGGCCCACAATCTTAGAACTTAAGCTTACAAAATCTATACGCTGCTTATAGAATACAAATTTTATTATAGAGATTAAAGACATTGAATTTTGTTAAAGGCAACTATTCTCAACTTTACACAACACGCTTTATGTCAATATAGTTTAGTTTTCAAGATATCATTGGTAGATCCGTCGAAGTGTTTAAAATTTCAAATCTCGATATGTCGTAAAGTTAATTATATCCGCACAATATACCGTAGGAATAGCAACGGTATAACCTGAAAACGTGAAAAAAGTTGAGCGGAAATTCTCTAAGTACTAAAAACCAATCCTAGCTCCAGATTAGTAATAAGGAGATCTGGCCCTCCAGGTTGGGGGTTGATCGCAAGGCCAGTAACCTTACAGCAAAAAAATTTTACCGCTATGCAACCCTCTAGGGAGGCCAAGGTTCACTCTGGACTGTGCCAAATAAAAAAAAGAAAAAGTGTAATAAAAGTTTCTCGAAATAGCTAATTCTACTATAAACCCTTGTTAAATGTGCCTACCCGGAAAATTGGCATCGCGTTGATTTAAAAATTCAAACACAGAAGATTGTCGACAGTTTTTATTTTATTTGAGTTTAAAAAATCAAAATGTTTTTATTTTTTTTCTAATTGTAGAAAAGACAAATAGCTTTAAAAAAAAAACCTTAAGAAGTATTCTTCAAAAGTTTTAGATGTGGGCTCATGTTAATATCAGAAACATAGGTTGGATGGTACATTAATATAAGGGAAATACTTGAAAGTATCAAAGAATGGGTATAACACATATACATTCTAGTAAAAACTGTTTAGCAATAACAGTAAAACGAGTTGGTACTCGTCTGCGTAGTTGGGCCCATATAGATAGATACATATAGTTTGCTTTTAAGATTTATTATGTGTATATATAAGATTATTTTATATTAATTTTATTCAATAGTAATGTGATTTTTAACTCTTCTTTTTATTCAGATATATAATTGTTATATATTAATTAGACTTAAATTAATAGCGCCATCTATTGTGTCAATCACTAGTAAATATATTACTTACAATGTTATAATACAAAAGTAAAAGCATCTTTGTAATATTAGAAGTAATGTTATGATTCATTATATATATAGGGACAACTGTAATTATGTGTAAGACTTAATAATCTTAATAACATGCTTTCATAATAAATCGGGTCATTTTTTATTATGTATGTTGTTGTATGTCGTAAATGATAAATTTTTATTTAATGCAATAAGCAAATATAATAAAATTTTTAACATTAAATTAAAATTTGTTTTAACGTTTTTTTGCTTAGAATTATAATTCTGCAGTTATTATTTATTATTTTTTATAAAATTTTTATAAATTGCTTAGTTTAGAAGACTAAAATTCTTAAAGTGTTTGATTATTTATAAAGTATTTTTATTTGCTATTTAATATTTACTCTTTTATTTTAATTTTATTTTATTCTTAATATTGTATTTTGTTTATTTTTTATTTATTTATTTATTTATTTGTATTTTTTATTATTTTCCGTAGTCATCACCGAATACGTCACAAGAATCACAAGTAGAAATGGAAACATTACGGAAACAAATTAATAAATATGTTACCGAAATAAATCAATTAAAGACTGAAGTACAAAAGCTTTCAACTGAAAATTCACATTTAAAGTCCAAATTTTCCAATGTGCCGCAAAATGCAACAAGTGTTTACGATGAACCACTGTGAGCTTATTTAAATTATCCTTTTTATTTCAATTATGAATATCACATATTAATTTATTTATTATATTATTTCTATTTTAAACATATTTCGATTTGTGATTTGTAATTTTTTATTTTAAATTTTTATTTTTTTTGTTATTTTTTTTATTTAATCAAATGCAATTCCTATGCACCATTATGTTTTGCTGTACCATAGACGCATTGATTTAAATGGTAGTGAAAATGAGCACCCCGAACCGCACTCGTTGCCGCTTGAAAACAGTAGTGTAGTTGGTTCAAATTCATCTTCTTCATCCTCGGCAACGAGTTCCAATCAGTCGACCATTAAACGACCTGCTAGCATGTATGAGAGGCGACTTACAAACGCAACCGGTAAAGCTGGTGAGGTCTGTCGCACTACAACGAGCATGTATCAAATGCAGGCAGATAAATCACAGACTAATTTCGCTGATGAGGTTAAACGTCGCACCGATTTAGTCGCACGTTGTCTAAAAGAATTGATTGTTACCATGCGAGATGCATCAAATAAAGAAGCGATTGTACCTTGCGCAGAACGTATACATGCTGCTGTCATGGAACTCATGGCCATCTTTACAACAACTGTAAGTGAATTCTTGCTTATTTTCAAAAACGAATCATTAACTTTTATTAACTCTCTTATTACAGACCAATTGCAGTGCGACTGTAAATGAAACCTTGAAGAGCTTAACGCATTACAATGTGCTTCTCCAGCGTGAATGTGAGAACCTTCAGAAATCTTTTGATTCGGAGGATAAAACTGCTGCGGAAAAGTGTGGCAAAGAAGTACGTGAATGTGCGTATTTTATTGCCAAAGCAGTCAAAACATTGGTGGTGTATCATGAATAGAAAGCAAGGAACTTTTGTTTTTATATACAGTTTTGTTATTTCACACAAAGATACTACTAACAAATTCCCATTAATGACTAAAAGTTTACCAAAAAATGAGCAAATATTGTATTGAAACCTACAATACATAGGATAGGTTGTAATATTACGCATTTGCTTAAGCAATTTTAAAATGTTGGCCTAACTGTTCTTCCAGTTTCAATTAAAATTTACTTTTAACCTTAACATAACGAGTATTCATATATGTATGTATTCGTAATATTAATACAAAATATTATTGAGATTAATATATAACGCGCACTATTTAATATTGATGTTTACGATTTATAAAATGAAGCAAATAAATATAAGCATAAAAAAAATAAATTTTGGTAAAAATTACTTTATTTCGAAGTAACGTGTCTCCAAAGTATATCTTTTTTTTACATTAAAATTATTTATTGAATCTTCTCCCTTAGAGACTAACAATAATTGTTCTTAATAATATTATGATGTAGACTCATAATAATCTGTCACAATATATTTAAAAGCTACTTATTACATTGTGACTTATTAGTGATAATGTAATATTACCTACTACAGTGGTACATAAAATAAAATATAATATACTAGCTTTAAGATTTGATAAATTGTTGTTAGTTTTGAATAGAAAAATTCAGTAAACTTATGTAATGTAATACAACAAAGAAAAAACATGAGACTAAGAGACTAACACTAAGTATTTAAATTTTTCATCTACTGGCATATATATACGTATTACAAATTTATATTACGTGAACATAATTACAAGTTAACTATAACAAGTAATCCATATTTTAAGGTCGTCTAGTTAAATATAATTAAGTTAGAAAAAATAAAAAATATATGCTCTATGAATACGTAGTGTAATGATTATATACACATAGTAGAAAAAGTCTACGGATATTCACAAAATTTTTCTAAAATTACGCATAACTTTTTTAATTTTTACTCAAATTCATTTTTATTTCCTGATTTATTTTAACCAAAGAAACAACAATAAAGTTGCAATATTAAAACTAAACAGTTATTCTTTAAAAAAAAATTAAACACAATTATATGCGAAAGTAGCAATTTTTGAAGCAGAAAAAGTCTACGGATATTTCTTAATATTTACATTTACCGCTAATTTAAATTCGCTTGCAAGCATAAAAGTGTCATTAAATGATATTTAATTATTAGCTGACTTCCTAAAGAGTCTAAAAATTAATCATTTAATAATATTTTTTTATATAAGCAATAAATTTTTACAATATAAAATAAAAGACGTGAAATTAGTTTTAGTGAGCGACAAATAACTGTTAAATTTTAGAAAGATGACGTAAGCCAAAGAAAAATTGCTGAAGATATTGGTCGTCAATATTCATCTGTGCAGAGAATTACAAATAACTTCAAAGAGACCAGTACTTACGTTTCTAAACCTCGCACTCGCCGCCCCACAATTTTGTCAAATAGAGAAAGACGTAGCATAATCCACCAGGTGAAAGTAAATCCAAGAGTAACAGCCTTCAAACTAGCTGAACATATTGCCGAAATACTTGAAAACAAAATATATCCTGATACTGTGCGGAAAATTTTGAAGAAATGCATGTATTATACCCTGATTGCAGGAAAGAAGCCATACATATCCAGATATAATAGAATAAAATGATTAAGCCGTGCAAGAAAGCGTATAAATAAACCTATAAAGTTCTGAATATGAGTTATTTTCTCCGATGAGAGTCAATTTTAAATATTTGGAATCAAAGTTAGAAAACTTGTATGGAGAAAATTATGCACAACCTGTGATAAACCGTAAACAGTAAAACGTGTTGGTGACGGCGTAATGATTTAGGGGTGTATAGCAAGTAATGGTGCGGTTAGACTTGAATTTGTACAAGATACAATGGAGAAATATGGTTTTCTAAATATTCTAAAAACAAATTTGAAAGAAAATGTCAGAATGTTAGGACTTGAGGCAACCTTTTTGTTTCAGCAGGGCAATGACTCTAAGCATACAGCAGTCATAGTACGGATTTGGATGCTGTACTATGCTCTCAGGCAACTTCAAACACTACCAGAATCACCAAACCTTAGTCCTATAGAACATCTGTGGGTTTATTTGGAAAATAAGATTCGCCAGCATATGTTTTCCAGCAAGGATATAGCAAGAAACGTCATCAAAGAAGAATGGCTAGAAATAAACGCACAGGATACTGCAAAGCTAGTTGAGTCAATGGAAAGACGCTTAACAGAGGTTATTAAATGCAGGGGTTATCCCACAGGCTATTAAATTTAAGATTTTTGTGAATTTTATTGTTTTAATGTAAATATAAAGAAATATCCGTAGACTTTTTCTGCTTCAAAAATTGCTACTTTCGCATATAATTGTGTTTAATTTTTTTTTAAAGAATAACTGTTTAGTTTTAATATTGCAACTTTATTGTTGTTTCTTTGGTTAAAATAAATCAGGAAATAAAAATGAATTTGAGTAAAAATTAAAAAAGTTATGCGTAATTTTAGAAAAATTTTGTAAATATCCGTAGACTTTTTCTACTATGTGTATATCCTTGAAGACAGATCAGGCATCAGTAAAAGAGAACAAGGAAAAGAGTAGTAGCGACAATAATTATCAGTAATAAGAAAGGTTTAGTTTTGAGTAATGGCACGTCGGTACGATTTTTTTAGTCGCAAATATACTATTTGTAAAAGTAAGTTTTCTAGCTAAAGAGTTAACGTGGATGTATCCTTTTTCTATGGACGTATTTCTGCCTAATTTTAAATGTGCCTATGCCCAAAATTCTAATTTAAACATAGCTACTTGAACATCTTTAGTGTCTACTCTTAATATATTTGACTGAGCCTTTGCAGAATATAGGGTAAATAATAAATTTGAAGAATTTGCATTGCCATACATTGAATACAATAAGACCAAATTGATGAGAACATGCTGTTATTAGGAGAACTTTAAAGTCTAGTCTTAAAGAGAATTTTATGTTGAAAAGCCACTATAGCTTAACAGCTTAGAGTTTTCTGTTTTTACATACTTCTAAAAAAACCTGCCAGGTCCGAAAATCTACGTGGTCTAAACTGGACAAAAAATGTACCAGTCAGCTGTTTCAACTAAAATGGAACTGTTCAGTACTAGGAAAACATGCTAGAAGACTTCGTCTACTCGTCTACTTCGTCAATGCACATCTTTAGCCAATAGAAGATTAAAAATTTTCAGGATCCCTGTTCTCACTGTTCTGACAAATTGTGGAATTGTAAAAATTTAGAGATTTATCAATTTCTTTCATTCGAATTGGAGAGGTTGTGCCTTTCAGCGTTGTTAATACACTGACCACTACGGTCCTTTGGGAGGCCTCTGTGGTCTGCGTATGAACAGCCCTAATCTGCGGTGTAACAAAGCTGCTATTGAAACTGAACCTAACTATGTGTTTACTCAATGTTAATGTTCTACTGTATCAAAATTAATCCCTAAATAGGTATTAACAACTCTAAATGACCTTTAATTCCGTTGTGGAAAGTTAGTGTTTCCACAAAATGTTTTAGTGAATTTCGAACCCTGTGCAATAGCCGTGCAAAGCATTATGTCATAGGAAACTATTCGTAATATATGCTTCAAATCTGTAATTGACTATACAATCCGACTAGTTCTGTTTAGTTCATATGCTCATTCGTATGATATATGATATCATTCGTTGATCTGATATCATACAATGCAAGTTTAGAAAAATAATTCAAATGGACATCTCATATGAGATGATGAAAAAAAGTCGGAAAATTGAAGAATAATGAGGACACAATAGATCTTTAGTTACCAATGTGAGATCTCTCCCAATTAATAATAATAATCCTAAGTTCAACAAAAAGTAATGCGAAACTACAAAACTCACTAAATTTGATGTCACCAATAAAAATTTCTGGAGAAGTAATTAGAATGAAATCATAGAAGAAATGATTAACACTAAATTCCTATATCTAAGTTTCTATTTTGAGGAATTTGTTGAGTTAGATACAGTTGAGTTAAGTCCCCAAATATGAGTTTCAGTAGTTTATACGTTTGGAACTGTTATTTATTATATTTATTATAATAGTATTTCGTAATTAATGTAAAATCTAATCGAATATCATATATTAAAAGTATATAAAATTAAGATTTGAAACTGTTTGTGATTGTTGTTATTGTGGAACATTGGAGAAATTAGGCGTCAGTGACCTCTGACAATATCGCAATCACAATGGCCCCGCAAAAACGTTTTACATATTAATTAAAATTTAAATATGTATATTTAGACGAGGAAAAATAATTTTATTTAATCATGTTGAACTAAATGTTGAATTATATTGTATATAATTAGTTATGTTAATATACAAATCTTAATACATTAATTCTATAAAATGCAATAGTAATTCTATAAGTAAAAAATAATTTCTTTTCGCCTATCTTTAATAATGCAAGTTTTTACTTTATTTAGTATAATTTGATTAGCAATAATATAAAAAACAGCCTCGTAATGCTTATGTCACCGATCACCGCTGTTGGATTAGCCCCGTCATTGTTACAGAACATTTCATAAACAATCGGAAGCCTCACTCACGAACTAATTGTACGTTTTCTGATTGTCGTACTTCCCCTCAATGAACCGAATTTGTATCTAAAAATGGGTCTTAAACGTTATATCTTCGATTTGTCAATTTCGATTATAAATTCAATTATAAACTAATTAATAAACAATTTATCACACTCTGCAACAATTAATAATAATAATTTATCGGTGGTATTAGATTAATATGAGTTTGGTGAGCTCAAATTTGCAACCACTTTTTACCTTATATATCTGAGTCTCTAACAATAATTGGTTAAAATAATTGGTTTTAAAGGGTTATTAAAAAATTTTATTTTGAGGGATAAGACTTTCATGTGTTTAGCAAATTTGCTACAAATAACTAGATAAACATTTTTGTCTCAGATATGCTCCTCTAAATTCTCTTGCTTCTATCATAAAAAAGAGTTTTATTAAAATTGACCTGTAAGAAAATACCGTTTTAAGGAATATTTGAAAATCCCACTTTTTGATGGAAAAGACGAGTTAAAATTCAAAAATTGAGGTTTTAAGGGACTCACAAAAGTTTTTATTTTGAGAGATAGAAATTTCATGTTTTCAGGAAACCTGCTGCGAATATATAGTAGTATATATATTTTTGTCTTTCTAAATACCCTTTCTTCCCACTTAAAAAGGGAATTTACATAAAATCAACCTTTTGAAAAAACCGTTTCAATAAATATTTAAAAGTTTCTGGATTACATAGAAAGTATTTGATAGAAAAATAATACAATTATTTTG